GTCATAGGTTTGAAAGTTGACAGGTGGTACTGGGCGCTGCGGATGGAAGACGGAAAGGCAGCAGCACTGCCAAGTATCATTGCAACTTCAGTTGAGAAACTGGTTTGCCAGCACCGCCGCGAGCGCCAGATTCTCCACACAAAGAAACCATCTGGCTGGAAGAAGAAGCTAGAAGATGCAAACCAGAGAATCGGGTCCATCGTCTACAATGTCCGCCATGGATGCCTAGCTTCAACTGCCTTCTTGAAGCGTTCCACGACGCGGATCAACGGCAAGGTGGAATTCACAAGCAAGGGCGCTGGACACGAAATTCTCAGGGTTCACTTCGAACTTGACGGTGAGGAACCGTCAGGGCCGGGCACCTACTATTTGTCGAGCCTCAAGTTCGAAAAGAAAGCCATTTGTTGTGTGAAGTCTTCTGGCCAAGAGCGTGGCGGTTTTGACCAGCTTCGCGAGAATTATGCAGGACCAGCTTGCAGTGTGTAGCCAGGTGCACATGACATAGGACATAGGCCTTCAAGGCACATGTTATAAACAGATTTAATACAGTAGTTATAAACACATATATATATATGTATTTCTAACAAGATCTCAATGATACATTGTGTGGTGGATGAGATAGGAATTGAGTGTCATTTGTTGTCGTTTGCCACGAGGAGATGATGCCAGCTCTGTTGAGGAAGAAGGTCATAAAGAAGGTGATGAGGATGAGACCGATACAGATCCTCAAGATACCGGTGATGGCCTCATGGCACCTCCAGATGTGGAACCTGCATGCATTGAGGAACAAGAACTTGATGAGTCCACTTCAGATTCAGAAGGTCTTGAGGAATATGATGGTGATGCAGCTGAGATTGAACATGAGGAGCCTGTTCCCGCTCCAGAGCTGCCAGCCGGAATCAATCCCGGTGCAGCGAATCGCATCAAGAGATACCACCTCTCTCCTGAGTGGTTGCATTTGCAGGATGCTGGTAACCACCTCCTTGTCTTGCCCGATGTTGAAGGTTGTGGCGTGAACCGCCACCCTGCTGGAAACTTTTGGAGTGCCCGGTACCCAGGCCACCCCATCATGACGGCGACATACTCCGTGTCCCGCAGTCCTTTGCGCTGCCTTGTGATGTGCCTTAGGCACATCATCAGGCTTCATTTAGAGACGAGTGTTTGTTCTAATGCAGATATCTGGGAAGCCCAGATGAACGACTTGAAGGCCTTTTTGTGAATGATGGTCAAGACCCGAGTGTGATAAAACACCTTCATCCTATGTCATGAGGTGTTGTCAACTGTTGTTGTTTCCCTATAAACCTCCTTTGTCAATCAGTTCATGGTCTTGACCAAAGTTCGACTGACCAGCACAGCGGATCACCAGGCCACAAACCATGGTCAAGAGCAATTTGTTCATGCAGCCCCGTGTTCCTATGTCGCGTATAACTACTACATCCCTGTGATACGCGTTCCATCTTCCTATGACCCATTTGCTTATGTCGTGTATACCTATATTATATATATATATATTAATTGCTATGACTATTGAAACACTTTGCGTTCCAAAGCAGGTTCTTGACCAATGCATGACTCAGAATTTAGATTTATACATGGTTGGCATTCACAAGCCAAACCGATCATTAAGCCGCATGGCTTACAAGATTTAGGAATGGCAAAAAGCCAGATGTGTTTGAGAAGAACAACGTGGGTGGCAAGAAGCCACATGACATAGCTCAGGCGTTGGGAAACAAACAAGGCGCTGGACTAAGTCATTGAGCATTTTCTGGTGATGTATTCACCTTGGGCAGGTGCTTTATTTCATGTTTTTTTAAGGTAAACTGGCTGGCACGATGCTCACACACCCTATGTCATCCTTCAGTTTGGTACGTTCACCTACTTTGCTAGTGGCTGATGACTTAGGACTACCCCTAGGGATCTTCCTATGTCATAATTTGAGCCTATTCCTATGTCATCAGCCCCTAGTATAATTGTGTTGTGATTTTGTTTTCTGGCTTCAGGATTGAGCATAGTTTCCAAATCATTGTTTTTTGTGGTTTTCTGGCTTTAGGATTGAGCATAGTTTCCAGGTCAATGTTATTTTTGGTTTTCTGGCTTTAGGATTGGGCATAGTTTCCAGATCATTGTTATTTTTGGGGGGCAGGGGTTCTGGCTTTATGTTGCAAACAACTGGTTTTCAGTCACGACAAAGTTCGTGCGGTAGCAACTTCTCGATTTGTGCGTGTGTGTCTCTCACTTGAGAGGAAGGAGACACGAAAGGTAGGACAGCGAGAAGAGAAGAGAACGCGAGAGGCAGGAACAAAAATGCAATGTTCGACATGGTTATTTATCCCCTCGGAGGCGACCTTTCGTAAATTTATGTTCATATGCACTCTAAATGTTCAAACATATGCTCTCGAAATGTTCAAAAAGATTCTTAGGAAAACAATCTTGCCCCATGGCTCAGATCATCGGTGAGCATTGAATCAGAGCATCATAAGATTTAACCATAAGAGGCTCACGAAGACGTTCCCCAGAAGAGAATTGACGTGCTTCACAAAACAAACTCTAGGTATGTATCCCCTCGGGGAACACCTTTCGTGATTAAAAGTTAATATGCACTCTTTCTGAATGTTCAAGAGGGTTTCAACTATCCTGAAATCATGAGAGGCTCACGAACACGTTCTCCAGGAGAGAATTGAATTTGGGGGGGGTCTGTATTGAACAATCAATTTCAAGGGGGCAGGGGGGGGGTCTGTTTTGAAAAATCAATTCGAGGGGGGGGGGGGGAATTGAATGATCAATTATTAGACCCGGACGCGCCAACACTTGCTTCGCAAGACAAACTCAAGGTATCCCCTAAAGGGCTACCTTTCGTGAAAATCTATGTTAATGGTGCTCCCTGGGGTCCCTAACCAGCGAGCATCCATATACAAAATCATTTGATACATTGACAGGCATTTTAAAGATACTTTTCTCTTGGCGGCTCGAATTACCCAAAGAGCCACCGAGCCTCTGTAAAATGCCACACCTAGAGTTCCCAACGCAAAATTTGAACAGTTCTTAGTTCTTTCCAAATCATGTGACCGGCATTTCATAGAGAGCCTCTATAAAATGCCATGCCTAGAGTTCCAATGCAAAATTTGGCCACTTCTTTCCAAAATCATTGGTGGAGGTGCTGGTATTGCTTTCAGCAGATTCTGCCTCTGCCTGCGCTGCCTGCATTTTTGGGGCCTGTTTTGACGCATCAGCAAAAACTGCCTTTGCCTGTCAGCAAACCCTGCGGAGGCATTTTTGGGGGCTGTTAAACGCATCCAGCAAAACTGCCGTTGCCTGTCGCGAAACCTGCGGGTGCATTTGTTAGGCAGTGGTAAACGCATCAGCTTTCCCCAGTCCACAAAACCACTGTGTGCATTTTTGGTGGGTTTGGAAATGCCTTGGGATCCACCAGTATTGTTTTCTTTGGCAGACTTGAATATGCATCGAGATGGTTGTGGATAGGGATGTGTATAGAAATGTTGCACAAACGTTCTTTCTACAACATGCGATTGCCAGGTGCGAACGCCGTCACACATGTCAACCCCCAAATTCTCTGTAACATGCAAAAACAGATCTCAAGCTAAGCGCGTTTGTCAGCCCCCACTTCTCTATAAAATGCCCACTTGCCAGGTTCACAAGACATGCAACAAAAAGAACACAACTAAAACCAACAAACACCCTTTCTACAAAAGGAAAGACCACAAAACGGGTCACTCTCTATAAATGATGGTCCAAAATCAATTTATAGAGTCAAATGATAGTAATTTTATAGAGGACCAAGCACAAAGGATGCCAAGATCACCAATTGGAACCCCAGCAACGCACATGCAGCATGAACCCGCACGAAAAAGCGGCCCTGTTCGAACTTCCTTGACGGTCGGTCCAAAAGAAGCGGCGGACTTCTAGGGTCAGCACTTCCACCGGTCTGGCAACACATCCAAGGGGTGACTTCCAAGGACTCCAGTCTCCCACCTGCCCGCCTGCGACGCCCTGAACGAAGTGCCGAATGGCCGAGACCATGGCCTCCTCGGCGGTGGTGGAACCGTGTCGCCACACGTTTGACCGGGTAGATGTGCGAGAATTCTACATCTAAGACCGTAAGCATCCGTAAGCATTCGCGAAGAGGGAACACATTCCACCCAACAAACACACACGAAAATAATTAATAAAAAACCACCATCAAACGAAGACGCACCAACGATCACCCAAAAACCGACCCTCCGGACTTCCCGACCCCCTCGGCCGCCCCACGCCGTTCCGCAGCATGGGTGGCAGCGAGGGTCGGCGCCCCAGCGAGGGATCCAAGCGGCCCTGGGAGCCTCAACGAATCGACGGGCAAGAGCTGGTGCAGCTCATGAAAAACATGAAACTTATCCTTACACTATACAATATAGGTGCAGAGTTTAACCTATATGAGTTATCTCTCGAAATTTGGAGATATACATGTACATATATATGTATATATACACAGTGTATACCTGTGCGAGCGTGCTAGATTCGATATTTATAGAAAAAACATGAAGAAACACTTGGTGTGTGTGTGTGTGTGTCAGTGTCATTCAGTGTCAGTGTCATTCAGTGTCCAGCAAACATATCTTGCGACCAGCTCAGCATGATGCAAAGGTGCCAATGCGTGCGACTTCACCTCGGCGTCATCTAGAACCCTCTCGTGGCACTTTGGCATCAACTTCCTAAGCCGAACTCTCAGGGCTCAGTAGTTGAAGGGCCTTTTCGGTTGCTTCTCCAGGCTCTGAGCTGCCTCCCTCCAAGCTCTGGAAGTACCCTGCCTTGGCCTTGACCTCATCCAAGGTTGGATGGTCTTTGACAAGGATTTCGAAAACTCTTTCGGCGGCCTCATCTGGCTTTAGATCTTTGTCAAAGCTGAGATAGTATTCCGACCAGGCTTTCAGCTCGGCCAATTTTGG